ATTATGACGCGCCCGCCATAGATGAGCGTGACCTCTGCGATCTCTGGGTCTTCGCGGACGCCAGTCTCTCGGCATTAGCGGCATGCAGTTATTTCAAAAAGTATGCAGGCCAAGTAACAGCATTAGTCAGCGGGAAAACACGACTTACACCAAAGAAAACAATACAAACTATACCAAGATTAGAAATATTGGCCACACTGATGGCTATCCGTCTCGCGAAAAATATATGTGAATCAACTACGGAAGCGATACGAGAAATCCATATAGTTAGTGACAGCGAAATTGCTCTTTCATGGTTAAAATCGAACCGAAAACTTCCAGTATTTGTACGGAACCAACGAGAACGTATACTTAAACTCAAACAAGACCTTGAATCTAGCAATGTGGCGGTCAAATTTCACCATGTCGCCACTAATTACAACCCGGCAGACGCTGGTACTCGCGGCGTCACTGCGAGACAGATCCAAGAGATCGATTGGATTGAGGGACCGCAGTGGCTTACTCAATCAGGCCCATATAAACAGTTGAAAGACATATCTGAGATTCAAGAGTTTGAGGAGGAAGAGGAACCGTTGCAAATACACATGCCACATGTTATCGATGACGTAACCGATGTCGAGAACAACGATAATCTAGTTGATCTAGCGCGATTCTCCCAGTGGAATAAACTCATAAGAACTGTGGCAAAAGTTGGTAAAATTATCGCACTATGGGTGAGCAAAACCCGGGAAAATCGAGGAATTCAAATACAGTTGCAACGAATCGCGCAGTTTGACAGAGACACAGAAATAACATTCGAGGACATGAAACTGGGTGAGCGAATGTTGATCGCAGATCAACACAAAAACGAAATATTACAGAAGTTACAAAAGAAATTTCCAAACAAAAAGATTATCAAGGACAGCGACGGTATTATTCGTAATGAATCACGGCTGCAAAATGCCCAATTACCGTACGATACTAAATCTCCCATATACATAAACCCGAAATCGGACCTTGCAAGGCTAATATTGCGAGATATTCATGAGAAAAACGCACATTGTGGAAAAGAACACACATTATCGATAGCCCGACAGCGTTTTTGGATTCCGAAACCATCAGGAGCATTCAAAAAGTTCTTAAAAGGATGTGTAAACTGCAAAAAATGGCAAGGTTTACCATTTGGCGCCCCAAATATGCCACCACTTCCACAAGACAGAGTAATTGTAACAAAACCATTCGATAAAGTGGGCTGTGACTTTATGGGACCAATAACGATAAAAACCCAAGAAAAAGTTTACGTCTGCTTATACACATGTCTTACTATACGAGCAATACATTTGGAAGTGGTTGAAAATATGTCAACCGGAGCCTTTTTGAGCAGTTTTATCAGATTTATATCTCGTAGAGGGGTGCCCAGCACTATACGCACAGATTGCGGCACGAATTTCCGACTTGGTCAACAAATATTGGACATTATGTATGAAAAAGACCCGAGTACAGGCGCTTCGGTAATGAATTACAGCGCAAACTGTGGTATAAAGTGGATTTTCAATCCACCTGGAGCCCCATGGATGGGTGGTGCTTGGGAGCGCTTAATAGGTACAGTAAAGATGGCCTTCCGAAAATCAATAGGCAGACGCAGACTTGATCTAACCGAGTTATGCACAGCAATGGCTCGAATCGAAGCCATAATAAACACGAGACCGCTCACTAAGTTAGATTTCACCGACATTTCTGAGATCCCAATACGTCCAGTAGATTTCCTACAGGCCAATATCAAATTTGATGTTAGAGAACCACAAGTAGAAGGCGAGTCTAACGATCTAGACTTTGACCCAGAGTTAATTCAAACAGCTCAGCAAGCTAGGCAAGCCTTGTTAGCTTCCGAAGAAATCGCGGACAAATTTTGGGAACGATGGAATACAGAATATCTAACTGCACTGCGAGAAATACAACGAATTTCGCTCAAACAACCTCGCCACGTGCCCTTACGAAACCCAATTATCGGCGAAATAGTGCTGATGAAACAAGAGAATCTCCCCAGAGGTAACTGGTCGTACGGAAAAGTGATTGAATTAGTGAAAAGTCTAGATGGACAAATCAGATCAGCAAAAGTGTTACTACCAAATAAACATGTTTGTCATAGACCACTAAACACGATATATCCATTGGAAATACAAAGCGAGGTAGAAAGCTCGACGATCAATAACGGCGAATTGTCAGGCGTAGATGATAATGGAGCGAATAACAACGGCAATTCGCCAGACATAGGTGTCGACGCTGCTAATCCGCCAACAGGTCACCAAGACCCCCCGCAGAGTCGGCCGCCGAGACAAGCTACGATAAATGCGCGAACAATTATACGTAATTTCGAACGAAGCTTGGAGGAATCGGATGAAGCTGACGAAGGTTATAGCAGAGCATCAACTCCAATACGCCAGATGTTGTTTTCAGTTATCACCGCATTATGCCTCATCAATCCAGTGACATCTGATAGATTGATTTGCGAAAAAGGCAATATTAAGATCAACAATCCAAATACAACGTTCGAATTATGTATGGGAAGCCTTTGTAGATCCTTTCCGAAGATGGCTATCGCTCAAAGAGAGTGGTCATTACCTCCAACGGCATTAAATAAGACCATGTTTGTCTCCATGAGGTACTTTCTGGAGGACCAAGAAATCATGGAACAGGCATATTGCGTACAGCCACATATATGTGATCATTCGAAAGGATTCCTATCGAAAAAACTCCTAGCAAACCCACATTGTTGGCCAAACGGTGCCATAGCATCCTTTGGATTAGCACTTTATGCGATTATTGTAACAACTATTATGCTCTCCACCTGCATAAAAAGGTTACTAACCCGTCCAGTACAAGTAACCGTTAACACAAGCGATAATGTAAGTGTGCGGTTAGAATTATTTAGTCCACCGACGATTTATAGAGCCGTGAACATTGCCCTCGTATGCATGCTGGCATTAACAGATGCGGCAGCAGCCTGCCAAAACGGCCACATACGGCAAGAAATCGATTTGATATGCACCAGCCATAACAGCTGTTCTTATGAGTACAAAAGAGAAATTCTATTCAATGAATTGGATTTGAAACTCTGCGTCAACATTATGCATGCCAATAAATCCGTTGGTCTAATTGAAGTAGAACGATATCCAACGATAATGAGATGTGCGAAAAGATCGTTGTACTTTACGAGAGATACGACGACCAGAGTATTTAGCACTGTACGTTGCTCGCAGGCAGGGTCATGCGTGAATTCCAAATGCTCGCAGACAACTGTCAATACGACAATCAAGGAGCTTGGCAAAGCATACCAGTTTCCAGGCTACTCCGGGTGTCAGCATTCATGCGGTGGACTCGGTTGCGGCTGTTTTCTCCCGCTACCAGCTTGTTCGTTTTATCGGGTCACACAAATCCCAAGAAATGAAGAGATTTACGAAGTAGTATCATGTCTGAAGTGGGAACCGTTGGTGAATTTGAAAGTCCGAGTTTCACTCTACAACCAAGAAAAAGAAACCTTGATTACAAGCGCACCTTACATCAAACACGCATTTCAAGGAATAGAAATCTCGATAATTTCGGTACAATCGCCGCACTTTGCCATGCTAGACAGAAAAATAGCAATATCAAACAAGGAAGCTTTGCTTCTACCAGAAGGATACGAACTAGCAGCTAAATGCGCGACTTACCAATCAGCAGCTAAAGATTTCAAAAATTGCGCCAACCAAATGATATGCTCATGCGAAGACGCAAATGGAGCAATCAGATGTCACTGTCCTCAAATGTCCATTAGAGACGTGAAAAATGACATTACAAATGTATTTCCCATCCATACTCCCTTCACTTCCTTACAAAAACGAGATAAGGAACTCTTCGTAAAAACTATGCAAGGAGAAGTAGTCGTATCGCTAGAATCCCGCTCACTGAAGAACAGTGCAAAATATCTACTTGAACAAGATTGCAAACTAAACGCGAGCAGCGTGTTTGGATGCTACGACTGTCAGGAAGGAGCTCAAGTGAACATCAGTTGCACAACCAATGAAAGAGCATGGATTGTAATCCAGTGCGGGGAACACACATTCTCAGTAGAGTGCGATTCGCAAGGAAAAGAAACTGCACTAGCAATAGAATTCCAAAAAGCAATTGTGCAAGAAACATGCGTTGCGCAATGCAACAACAAGACCATCAAATTTGACCTTACAGGTACACTCAGTTTTGTACCAGACATTGTGGAACACATGTTGTTCGAAAATCCCGCTCAACTAAGAAATTCCCGCAAAGATTGGTTTGCAGACTGGAAAGTTCCAAGTATTTTACCGATCTGGAATACTCTCCGCAAACACTGGCAAGTCACCACAGTTATATTGGGATCAATAACCATCCTCTCAGTGATAACATATTTCTTCGGACCAGCACTAATCTTTGCACTCGCTAGATTAGTCTACATCTGCGCGGTAATTATCGCGAAGACCACTGCGTTGTTTATTCAGACTGTATACAAATGTATCAGAGCCGCCACGCACTAAAAGAGTGGGGCCGACCCACTATTATAATCAGCACTGTACACAATACCCATATCTTATAACATAAACAATCTCATATGGTAGGGGTGGAACCAAGAAACTTTGATGAACGATACTCATTCGACTAATTCACGTCAGCCTGAACACTACAACTAATGCCAATGGACGAGATCGACGTCGCCTTGCACATCGAACCTCTAGCGGATGCCCTCAAAGACATTAAGGAGCGGATGGAGAACGGACTGTCAACAATTAATGCCAAGATCGACAATATCATGCAAGCAGTCCAAGCTACGAGCGAGAGATGGTCGATTATTCACCACCAGCTAACTATTATGGTGGAAAGGACTACCCCGAGGTCAAATTGCATGTTCTGCACGGTGGAGGATAACAAGGATCAACACCCGACTGGACGTTGCTGCAAATTCCCCGACGCCGTTTCACGGGCAGTGCAAGCGTCAGCCCTTGGACTCTGCGAAAGGTGCCTTCAACCGAAGCACCACGAAGACTGTGGCGTGTCATGCCCAATTTGTGGAAGACTGCACAATGTGCTGCTGTGCCCCAACAGAGGACAAAACGGCCCTTACAAACGTCGGAAGGTGAGCTCACACTTCACAGCCTAATTAACGGCTATCACCGATTTCAGTTTGTTAATTGCAGAACTAATCCAGCCCCAACCTCGAGCTCGCTCATCATCTATGCAAAGTTTCAAAGTCCGGTGAGTATTTCAAAAATACAGATTTGGTTCATTCAATATTTATTACAACGACTAACAAAAAAAAAACATAAGCAAAACGATCATAATTTGAAGCTATCGTCCATGTCCATTGATGAGTTGGACAGCATCGCCGTCATCACGTCGTTGTTCTTCCGCAACCTTTTCATGCACGCCCAGTAGTTGTTCGCTGATTTTGTTTCGCTGGCCAACTTCGCTTTCATATCCTCGAGCTGCTAAAATGAAAATGCTTATCAAATTATTCAATAATATAGTACAGAAATTCTTACCTTTTCGGTCCGAGTAGCTCCCCGGTTGGCCTCTTCCAACTGCCTTCGAAGAGAAGCGGCCTGATTCGCTTCTCTTTTGGCCTCTTCCAACTGCCTCCGGAGAGATGCGACCTGTCCAGCTTCCCTTTGCGCCTCTTCCAACTGCCTTCGAAGAGACGCCATCTCTCTCTCCATATCAATAAGGTCCTGTAATTACAAAAACTAAGAATCAATTTACAAAAAACCAACTCACCTGGCTCCGTTGCATGGGCTCGACTGCGTTGACGGCAGGCATATTTTGTCAAATCTCAAGACACAACGTTAAAAGAAATCAAACAAGACAAAAAAGATAGACAATAATCTCAAAAAGTAAGAAAGAAGTAGGCAAATGGCTGAAGAAGCATTTTTAATCACCCTTTTATGCAGCCAGGATGACATCTTCTTGCGCAAGAACAGACGCGCGTTAAGCATATCATTCTAAAAATGATATATCAGTCAATCAAAAATCAAATCCCACAGGCGTCTGCTATGCGTCTGCTCTGACGCATCGTTCCAAAACGGCATCAAGTACCATTCACCATCCCCATATCCCAGCAGGGGTTGATTTGTTACATTAAGATATTAAAATATTTGATCTAGATCTTCTCCAGTCCGTCAAGCCCAAAACTCCACCGCAACTACGTATCTTCCATCCTCGTCTCAAGACTACACCCAGTTCGTCAAGCCCAACTCCACCGCAACAACGTCCTCCACTCCTCCACTCGTCATCGTCTCAACATCGCATCCCACCTTCGGCCGCTCAACAAGTTTTTTTTTTCATTTTTCCCCTTTTTTTTTCGTCGTTTTCCTCCTCCATCATATGTTTTTGTAACTCTATCCAACATTTCGTTAACATTCTGCTGTTCCCTTACTTGAATTTTGCCTTTTTCCTCTTTTTCGCATTGTTCTGATGTTCATTGAACATCCTTCCTTTTTTTTTGTTGTTCGCTTGAAAAGTTCCTTTTTTTGTGTTTATTTTCCATGAAATTTTCCTTTGAAAATGGTTTTTTTTTGTGCGGCGGGGAGTGTCGTGATAAAGACACGACCCATGCTTAACTCTTTGTTGCACTTTGTTTATATTCTGTGCAAGTTATTCATTTCATGCACAAAGAGTCTGCCACATGGCTGACTCTTTGTGCTCATCGGCCAGCCTCCTCTGGCCGATTCCCCATCACTCTTCACTGTATCGTGTGCCGGAATAAGCCGGCTGTATTTGTGCTCTGATAAACATTCTTACTCCCCAAGTGTTGGCTGAGTCATCGAAGAGTCCCCCAAAAACCCACTGAACCACCACAAATAGACTAAATTTATAAAAAATCAGAAATGGAAAATTATATGCATGATTACCAAAAGCAGTTAGATGGTGAAATCAGGGATCGTTCAGACCGCGCCTGTACCCGCCCAAATACGCCCAAATACGCCCGAATACGTCCAAATACGTCCGAATACGTCCAAATACGTCCGAATACGCCCAAACCCGCCCGAACGCCGAAACTGCCAATGCGCAGCGAATTGCATGCAAATTGGCATATTGGAGCACGCGTGGAATACTGCGTGCGTGGTGCATATATGGTAGCCACACGTAGCTCGACGTTACATACCGATTTTCATATGCGACTAGCGGGATTACAAAGATCAATGGACTTTGCGTCTGTTTTTATTTCTTCTCATGTTTGCTGACTCTAGGTGAGTTCTAACTTTCGTGCTGTGCGTTTTCTTTTCTTTTGAGCATGACGATCTTGACGATCTTGTTGAGGTAATGCTTTGTTCTGTCTATGAGTCATTTCTTTCCATATTGATCTGGTGCAATAAAAAGGCCCGGTCTTTGCTCAAGAGCGCCCAAATTTTTCTGTCTTTCTCTGAGGAGAGATAGGAGTGAAGAGAGATTTAAAAAACTTGAGCGCTTTCGGGCGCTTTTGAGCGAAGTCTGGCCGGGGCCGAAGAGGTATTCTAGTCATCTTTACGCGTTAGGCATACTGTCCCTGTAAAGTATAAACAAAAAGTTGACAACGCACGTACTTAGAAAACAGACAAAGAAAATGTGCATATTCTACTCATTCCAGATCAATATGGAAAGAAATGACTCATAGACAGAACAAAGCATTACCAACAAGATCGTCATGCTCAAAAGAAAAGAAAACGCACAGCACGAAAGTTAGAACTCACCTAGAGTCAGCAAACATGAGAAGAAATAAAAACAGACGCAAAGTCGATTGATCTTTGTAATCCCGCTAGTCGCATATGAAAATCGGTATGTAACGTCGAGCTACGTGTGGCTACCATATATGCACCACGCACGCAGTATTCCACGCGTGCTCCAATATGCCAATTTGCATGCAATTTGCTGCGCATTGGCAGTTTCGGCGTTCGGGCGGGTTTGGGCGTATTCGGACGTATTTGGACGTATTCGGACGTATTTGGACGTATTTGGGCGTATTTGGACGTATTCGGGCGTATTTGGGCGTACTTGGGCGGGTGCAGGCACGGTCTGAACGATCCCTCACAGAAAATGAAGCAGAGTTGCAGTGGATCAAGGAGCTCAAAAGAAAATATTCTTAAGAATATCCTTATTTTTAAATATTCTTACTTTCCGTGTTTAAATCAGTTTTATATGTTAACCAATGTATAAACAAAGAAATAAAGCTATAGACATCTGAATGTAATTATGCATGCATTGGATGTGCTTATTTGAGCAGAAGAAGCAGGATACAGTGTAGTAGTATGTTGATAAAGAGTGGCGCGTTGAATAGAAAGAAACACAAAATAAATCATCAAGTTTTTGGCAAAAGATTGAAAAGCTCAAGACCAGCTCCGAGAAACGTGAATGGCATTTCAGCAAACTCATAAAAACTTTGCCGCGGCAACCCTCCGCACGCAGATATGACTCATACTTGGTGAAGTAAAAACGAGCGGGAACTTTCGAATTCACTACGATTACCTTCGAGATAGTCGCATGTTTGTACCAGGTTAAAAGGGATAGAAAAGCACATGAAGGAATTAGATTTATGATCTACAAATCTTGCGATACAATGAAAGTGATAGTAGTGCAAGTACAGATAAATTTACAAATATCAGCAAAAGTACCCAGTAATCAAACTGAATGCATGATTACAGAAATCTAGGAGTTTAGTAGACCGCATCAAACTACCCGCATTTAAACACGAACATGCTAGTATAAACAATCACACAAAAAAGGAATTAATACTATCGAGGACATGGAAAATTCAAAATAGAAAAAAATGTCAAAATCTGCTGGAAAAATCCGTGACTTATCCAAATTAAGAAGAAAGTTAGTTACGACTCTATTTTTAACATGGGTGCAAATATACAAGCAAGATCAACTTTTCCATAAGCATTATTCTCCAGATAACGTCCAACAAGTGCTGTTAGCTTGTTGTACAAAGCCATTGTAGATGTGAAACCAGGTTTTGACTGTATGCTGCCTGTAAAGAGAGAAGGATTCTTTCCAAATCCCTACAACTCGACAAAACTTACGTTTCTGCTCCGGTTTTAACTCTTGCATTGCAGCTGGTACATCAAGAATTTGTTTGAAAAACATTTGCTGATCAAACAAATCCTTGCCAGAGTACTAAAAATGAAGTATGGTAGAAATTATACTCTAGTAGGTCTTAAAGGATCTTACCTCCTTTCTCAACACACCCCCAGCACATTTCGGGCATTCAAGGCCTTCACGGCACCATTTCATCAGATGTGTCCTTGTACGGAACTCGCACACAGAATCGTCGCATCTATAGGAAAAAGTGAAAACGCTGAAAACCTTTGAAGGCGGAAACTGAATAAATAATCTAACTTGAAAGACGAGCTGTGATGTTTAGCAACGAAGCTTCTTAGCGCATCTTCAACTCTGTTGTAGATGTATGAAGGGTATCGAGATAAATCTGTTCCGCATTTATCGCACGTCTCCAAGGACAATTTGAAAACGGAATCCTGCAAAAAAATGAAAGAATATGAGCTTCAACAGCTATTCAAAAAGGAATCTACCTGCTCCTCTACTGCTTTCCTTATTTCCAATACATTTCCGCAGCCCACTGATGGGCATGTAAACTTCAAACCTTCACAAAGATCGTAGTTAGTGGTATCCTGCCATGCCAATTCGTCTTCCACAGCCGCATTATCAGACGCTTGCGCAGCGGCTGAGCGCCTATAGGACGATGAATCCATACCTGGAAAACAGACATTTGAGGCGCTGCGATATTAGAGCTGTGATTTACCCAATGCCTCGGCAATTCTCACAGCATCAGTTTCTTCTATCGGTGCGCAAAGTCTCGACACAACCGGATGCACTTGTTGCGCAAGATAATAATAAAGATCTGAAAGAGAGGAAAAGTTGGGACAAAAAACTTCATGAACTTTAATTTTAAAAAAAACTTGGGTGATTATGCCTTCTACACAAGTAGAACAAGTTTCTTAGGACTAATTTTACATCATTAGGAGAAGAGTTCAATGTCAGATCTTACCGATCTTCAGTTCTGGCCTAGCTTCTATCTCTGTCCGATGATAAGCTCTTTGCATGGCTGAGTTTGTGGTGCCATCCTCAAATATTTACATTAAAAAAATTGTATTCATCAAATGCAGTGCTTTTTATCAGATAACAAAATAACCATGTGCTTTCACAACAACAAAAGAGTTCTTACCTCACAAATTATGTACTCAACGATGTCGCCTTGCCTCAGCGAAAACTTTCCAGTCTCATTCAATCGCATGGCAACGGCTGCATGAGGCTGAGACTTTAACTCGTGGTAATCTTTGGGATTTCTAGTCAGCTGCTAGAATGAAAGTGGTGAACGACAGAGCCATGTCAAGAACCTTGCCTTCACTTACCTTGCTGATCTCAAACAGCGTCAATTCCACGCCCTTATCCAATCTCGCTCTCAACTTTTGCAGCGACTCGTGTATCTCAAGCACCAACTCATCCCGCGACAACTTTGGATCAAGTATCAGGTCCACAACGGCGCTAAAATTGACGAGTAAGCAGAGCAGTACGACAGATAATCAAGTCCCTCACTTTCCAGCTTCCTTGGCCAATTGCGACCAATCTCGTCTTACGATATCCAACCCTTTCAGCTCTTTCTTGGTGTCCAGTTCATTGTCAGGATTTACAGTAAGCGCAGCATATTTCTTCTTTTTAAGCAAAAGCATACGCTTGAAAACGCCGTCGAGTTCAAGTTCGAGCAAACGATGACACTGGTTGACTTGGCGTTTGATCTGCACTTATCATCCATTATTATTCAGAGCGTAGTTTGAAATTGAAAAAGGAAATAGTCAGAAAGCGCGACATACTCACCTCAAATCCCAACTTTTTCGCTTGTTTCAGATCCGTGCTATTAGTGTTAATCATGATAGAATCCGTGTCTCCATACACCACGGAATAGCCTAATTTCTCTACTAGATCTTTGGTATGCGTCAAAATCTACAAAAACGGTTTCAATTTGAATGGTTTTAGTAAGATCAAAGTTTTAACCTCACCTCTCTACCCTTGCATGTAATCAAAGCAGCCAACGGCTTCGCGTAAAATCTCGACTGTTTGAAACCCAAGCAACCATACATGCTATTCGCAGTGAGTTTCAAAGCCATCTGACGAATGTCGTACTGAAAGTACAGAATGAGAAAAGAAGTTTCAGTAGATGAACATGCATGCACTGACCTGCTTCTTCTTAGCTTCGGGCGCTTCCTTCATCAACATTTTGACTTGTCTGCGCCTCTCTACAAGTCCGCGAATTTCACATGGTAGGATACCCTCAGACAAACTGGATGACGGGATGTCTGGGAGATCATCACCATCCTGAACAACGCTTTTTTATTGAAAGCAAAAAGGCCTAGAGGCTAATGATATGGTGTAATCTGCTGCTTTGGTACAACAAATTTTTTCTTTCAAAAAGAAGGTCGCCATAAAATGTGGAATGAAACTAGGCAGCAGTCATTAGGTGTTATCATCACTGCTATGGTCACCTCGAACAAACTTGACACTGGCTGACCTTCAAGTGGAACACGGTAGTAAAGCAGATATTGTATTCTTGGATGATGCTGGGATACAGAGAGTTGAAGTCAAGCAGTAGAATAAGCGTATCGTAAAGTCCTGAAACAATTGCAATAGAAAAAAATCGGACGACATTACAGCAACTTCGCATTGCTGCAGTGATCATGTTCCAAAAAATATGATCACCTCTTTTCGGCTCCAAGACTAGACCACCAGAGTACTGCGCCTTGTTTTTGGATTTTACTTCAACATCATTTTCTTCAGTATTTTCGTCGTCGTCATTCTTCACTTTTTCTTGATTTCCTACACGTATGTAATGAGCATATGATATTAAACGAAAAGATTTGTCCAAACTACCTTTCTTGAATGATGGCTGGTACTTGTTCGGCGCTATATAGTTCGCTTTATTGAACGCATGCAGTAGCAAAAATTCGTTACGCTCTGCTCGTCCTCCCATCAAAGTTCGGGACTAAATCGTAACGGTTTTCCTCGGATAGCAGCATCAAACCACTCTGATACCGTTACTCCTCCAACAATGTTTGTGATCTGTACAGCAAGTTGCAGCGCATTGATCTGAGCCACAACCCTCAAACATAGCCAAGGATCCATCCAGCTCCACTGGATAAGATTAAGAAGTTGCGCCGAAGAACTAGAAAAATTTTGTGCTAAGGAGGGACCAAGAAGTATCAACACAAAAAAGAAATCTCTGCAACTAAAAGGATCTTGAGACATAAGACACAGCAGATACCATTGATTAAAAGTATAATGAACGTACCTAAACTTCGCTGCGATTTCATTGGCGTAGATATTCTCTCTGTTTACACCAAGCAGCTGATTTACTAATTCGGTGAGATCATAGCTGCGAGATCTTACCAGCTCCATGGCTGACAACCTAAATGATCATAATCTCAACTGTTATCTAAGCGCAAAAGCAGTGCAAGTCGAGCTATGCCCACCTCGAGTCCAACAACATTCTACCCGCAGTCAACTCCCACTGTCCGGCCTTATTGTGCGCCACCTTTCCTACATTTATTGTACGCTTCAGTCGACTAGTCCTTGACCAGTTTGCCACTTTCAGTTTATCCATACGTGATACGAGAACAGATATCGCAGCTGACAGATCATGTCCCTGAAAACGCAAAACGTTGCATCGGCCGGGAATCGAACCCGGGCCGCCCGCGTGGCAGGCGAGCATTCTACCACTGAACCACCGATGCTACACACATCTCAGCCACGCGACTTCTAGGCATTTCGGTATAAGTACTCACCACGATGATATCCGGCTCATACTTGTGTACTTTAGCAAGGAAAAGTGACAAGAGAGCCTTTTCATTTCCGGCAGTGAGAACTATGTCCGCTAAACCTCTTCTATTCAGCTGGTCCTTGATATCGAATGGTAAGGTACCACCGTACGGTTTGGTAAACACTAAAATGGGGAAGCATAAAGGTGCTCAAATAAATCGTTTTCCTAGTTATATATTAGCAGTACAATACAGACTTTTACAAAAAAACGGGATTTGAACTGAAAAAAAAAACAGAAGAGAAGAGCATTAGAGAAAGAAAACACGATCAACTTACTGCATAATCGATGAAGATCCTTCTGGTCAGTACTAGGATTACTCAGATTACAAGCCGGATTATATAACATTGATATCATACAGATCTGCAAAAGACAACCAATCGAGCAAATTCAAACATGCGCACTCTTTAAAACTGACCTCATTTTCCTTCTTATCATTCAAAGTTGTTAGAACATTGAGTACAAGCATTCGTACAGGAGGCGCAATTTGAGTTATTGCAGTGTTATAGTTAAGGTTGCGCATCCTTTCCATATCCACGCTGAACTCATAATCACAGTAGGACTGCTTCGCTGTCACCTCGACTAAACACCAACAATTAGGCATGAAAAGTGTAAAAAAATTGACTTCTATACTTACCATAGTTAGTAAAATCTACCCATCCAGGGCCCATCATTCCCTTTTCGACAAGGAGTCGTTCCATCGCAGTGGTTGTAGTATTGAAAACAGCTGAGAATGTTTCGCCAGACAAGTCAGTGGGCAACTTTGGATGACTGCTCTAAAGAGGAAAAATGTGTTCAAATGCTTATTTAGGTTAGATATTGTTTAATTAAATATTTCCGAGAAATCAGCGATACATGCAAATCGAACTAGCTATTCATAAAGTGAGATTTTTGAGACAACGGCAAATAAAGAAGGATGCGATAACAAGAAGCCTGGTCACTCACATCATATTGTACTTCAATAACTTTGATCTCATCGGCACAATGATCTTCAGAGATAGTCCCATCATGCATGAAATGTTTCTTAGCTTGCTAAACAAAGTGCAGTAACATTTGACAGCACCTAAACTTCAAATCTTTTAACAAAAAAAAACCTACCCTGCACTTGAAAGACGCTGTTCCACAGTGCCGCTTCATCATTATCTTCACTTCTTCGAACACATCTTCATCTCTCACTTGTTCGTTAGTACTGTTTCCTCTTACAAACCTCTAGAAACAGGAAGCTTTGACACTTGGTTTACATCTCAAGAAATTTTATGTTCGAGCAGCTAAGACAACCCTGAGCATGTGCATAGGATCGAAAGATCTACTCAACTGCATATATTATCGCTTCGCAATGATTTTGCGCGAACATCAAGAGATTACCGTATCTGACTGTAATCCAAGGGTCATGTTCGCGCAAGTTCTGAATCTATAAAGTATCAACGTTTTGCTTACCGTATCTCTAGGCAGGAAGAAGACTTGACGGAAGACATTTTTGACTGTGACGCAACAACTAGCCCACTTATTTCCGCTCAGGTTCACACGACCAAAGAGATATACGGTACCTGCAAGATGGGAGATCCAGATAAAACAGAAAGGCAGAAATAAGATCAGGCATACCAGCGTGCTTGACTGGATCCTCGAAAGCATCCAGCCAATACATTCGAATCATTTGTTGACCATCTTTCTTCACATAGAAAGCTTCGGATCCAGCAACTACTTCCACCGCTGGCTCTTCACATCTAAATTTGCATAAAATCAAGCAACTTCTTGATTTTATGGAGAACTGCCAATGAAATAACAAAATCATTTGAGTTATAGGCGAGCCATACAAGTGCGTATGTTGAGGTGATATTCCAATTATTCATAATCAATTATTTCTCCAATCATGAGCTATGACAAAAAATGTTACAAGGGCATTTGTCTCGATTTGAAGCATGTCCAGATAAGTTTGGAGGCATGAGCCTCTCACGTGGACATCGATTTACAGTAACGCAGCCAAAATGCTTCAGAACCCGAACTCTATACCAGAGTGTCAATTTATCATCTGGATGTGGCACTTATCAAAATATCTGTTGAATGATAATGGCATTTCGTTGTGCAGATGATGGGATGCAACAGAGAATCATTTAAGATACAAAGAGCATATGATTCATCAACAAGCATAATCAGGGCCCATTTCGCTTCCATTCAAAGTGCTTTAATGGCGTCTGTTCATAAATGTGCTTCCGGTCAATTATCCACACACCCTGTTATTATTATCCATGTTTACACCACTCATTTTCGTCCTCATTAGGTAAGATAGCAAGATTAGGTGATGCTAATTTTAGGAGATGACCATGTTTGCCCTTCATTTCCATTAGTCCTTTGGAAAGCTTTTTGCGACAGATAACTATTTTGGAGTTTGCGAAATATCGAATTTATCGATTTTTGCCAATTTTTGGGATTTCGCGCCCCTCAGAATCGCCCCGCGCCCCCCAATCCGCCCCAAGTTTGAGGTACTTTCATGATCTGACCCAATCCACCAATTGTGGTCTGATTAAATTTTGGAGTCTATGACAGAAGAATACATTAATTTTGATAGAGAGATGGTAAAAAGTAAACTAATAGCTCTCCACTTCTACTACCATAATAACAGCTTACTTTTCTTGACTATCATCCCAGTCAGCTGCTGAAAGCATTGTTTGAGCTGCTGAGACTGTTGTTGGTTTCGTCTCCACTTCCTTGATAATCGGCTCAACTTCCATCTCTTCCACCTGAGAAATTTTCGTTTTTACTTATTATTACTATTTCGCTGTAGTTAGATTTGATTACCTCATTTTTGACTTCCTTCTTCACTTCTTCTCTCTGAATAGTTCTAGCAACTTCAGTCGGGCCCTTGTCGACCTCATGGTTGGATGCAGGAGCGGTAGGTGGAGGTTCATAATAATCGTCCAAATCTGGGGCCCCATAATCGTCATCGTCAACAATATTCTGAAATTTGCAGAACGTTTCATATTTTCATTGATTAGAAGGAGTACAGATGCATATATATTTAAGAATATGATGCATACACATGTATGTGATGATATCACCGCATATCTTCAACTGCAAAATTATATCAATCAATGCATGTAGTGTGTTCATCATCTGCAGAAGTGCCGTACGCGATTTTAAGGTCACTGGTCAGTACAAGACCGATCAATAACAAGGGCAACAAAATACATATTTACACAATGGTATGGGAAACCCGTTATATAACCCATTGGACCGATGACGCTTCAAATATTGATACTGACAATTTTCGCTGCCATACGATCCTTAACCTTACTCTTAAGTTATCCTGCCTGAGGACTTCCCAATTAAATCACTATTCATGTGCTGCACAGATATATATTCCAGCAAGATCGTCCTTTGCGTATTGATGGATTCAAATAGTCTCATCAAAGCTTGAGCACAAAAGAATTACAATTTAATACTATGTTCGCTCCTGTATCTTAGCAACAAAAATGACACATTCAATTCAGCATAAGTCTGAATGAAAGCTAGACGTTTTCCTTTCTACGTCCTATCGATTCACGAAGATTTAAAAGCAGTAAATTATGCAATAAAAATTGAAAGGGTGAAGTTTCCTCTCACCGCTTGCACTTCTGCCTTGACGGAATTTTGCGGAACACTTTTGGCCGACCGTGTGGGCATCGCCGTCGCACTTTTTGCAACAGGAGTTGACAACTTCATTACTTTCACTTTGCGCGGAGCAATAGTCGGCGATGCTGAAAGTGACCAACATGTGAAAATGTAAAAAAAAAAGATTTGCACTTCAGAAAAGATAATCCCCTTCTTAACAAAGTCTTTTTACCTTCTCTTTTGAATGGATTTCTTGAAAAAGTAGGAGCAGGGATAGGCTCTGGCCCTGCCGAGAAATCCATTTCAAGTGCTTCATCATCCAGTCCAGCTAGCAGGTCTTTCAAATCTTCATCTACATCAAGTTTCACTTCGGTCTGTAAATGCGATATTTTCAGTAAATTAATGCTTGAATGCGTTTTTTTGTTGTCGCTTAAAATCACAAGATAGCGTAGAATTTGTTTAAGTTCATATAAACCACAAATTTTTGCTATTCCCATCCCATGATACCAATTTTGATTAGGAAAAAGTGCGAGAACGCTGAGAAAAAAAGGGCACGGTGAAAAAGCAGTCATGTTGGAAACTCACATCGTCCTTGACTTTCCCTCGAACCATTGCTGGTGCAAAATAATTGTCTAAACCTTTCTTCTGCGACGGATCTGTAGAAAAATTATCTGTTCAAACTCTGACTTTGAACAACAGGTAACTTTCACCCACCCTTTTTATCTTTCTTCTTCTTTTTACTCTTCCTATCATCCACATCTTCTTCCTCTTCCTCGTCATCAAATATGTCAGCGCCATGATCCACGTAGCCGCTCCCATCTAAAGTAAACATAAAACATTAAATCTATCAGTTCAATCATTAAATCATTAGTAAATTATTTGTATATCCTATGAATATTAATCTTTCGAAACATGACGTTTTGGAAGGAATGAGTACAATTTATCCATCTCATAAATATTTTTTTTTGTTTCCGAAATACCTATTTGAAGAATTGGATTATGAAATAAGTTGGGGAGAATTCCATTTTTACGAGGTCAGTTTTTGGCTGAAATGTTGTCGGCGGACGATTGGTCAGCAGAATTCAAATAACTATTGGGAACAAAAAGCCAATAATCATGTGTAAAAACGCTATGGCTGTCACTGTAGCTTTGAACCATAAACATTGCCTTCATCAATTTCCCCATACTAACCGGTTCTCACTTGTCATGGAATTTTTGTTATTTACAACATGGTTTCCTCTTTTTGGTACTGAGTTTTTAAATCAAATTTATCTGTTTCACCGACTTAATTTTTAAGTCTTGGCATTACTGTTGTCAGGACTGAAAGCGCAGCAGGATGGGATTGTTAGCGCTCACAAATATCCTGACTTTTTGTGGCAAATAAAAACACTCACCGTCATCGACTACGAAATCTGCAGCTTGTCGCTTCCGTACAATTTCATTATATTCGTCCTCATCCACTTCTTCGTATACATTCGTAATCAGATGGTCCAGCTAAATTCAACTTAATTTCTATATAAGGCATTTTAGCGATTTCTCTCACGTACATCTACTCTGTGTACTTTTCCACTACGTCGAGCTTCTTTCATAGCCTCCAGGGCACTGCGGCGAGTCTGCTGCCGTGAACTTTCTCGACGGCGAGATGAGCGACGGCACTCCACTTCGTTCTCTGCATCAGACATCGCCTGGAACAAGCTTACCGTATCACGAGGTGAAATTAATTTGGAAGAGCTTGCTATCCTAAAAAAGTTGTGATTGATTCGCTTCGGTAGGGCTACGGTAAGTGTATGGTAGTCAATCCCACCTCAGTCTTATATTAGGGCTTTCAATGAGAAATATGTGATCAAAAATAAAAATAGACCTAAGTCAGGAAACCACTTTACATCATCATATTACAACATTTTCTGGCGTCTGAACTCCGTACCGTATACCTACCGTACCTTATCTAGAGATTATGGCTACACAAGAGATCAGATCAAACACTCTTGTGTGGCATAGCGTTAAGCTTGAGACAAGTGAACAAAATCATTTTTCTGTCTGAAAATACGGGACTCAAAAAGTGGGCGATCTTGTCATTCAAACGTCATAAAACCGAGAATATCACTTGAATAAAATAAACTCAGTATGAATTAGGAAGAGTGCAGTTGCAAATTTGACAAAAAAAAACAATCAAAATCATAACTATGAATTTTTCAGTGGGTGAAAATTCTTCAGCAGGATAAAAGATAATTACTGTTTGTTCTTTCTGCAATTAAGTTTTTTTTTTCAGCTGCGCAAGAATTTGAGGGACAGATCTGTTTCTTCATCCCCACGCAAATCTCTTACAAACGAGCGAGGAACAACTGCGGTAAAAAATCAGTTTTTCTAGCAATTATCAATTAATCAAATCTAATATCAAAACTAGATTACGAAGAACACAAATTCATCACTATTCCAAAATCCTAAAAGTGGTAAATTTCTACCGGTTATGTCGACTTTGATGAAAGAATGAAAGTTACAATGCAAAGAAACAAACAAAATCGAAATTATTTGACGAGCGCGCGCGAAAAAATTGCAAACGAATTTGAATTGTCTACATTGGCGCGCAAATCGATGATCGAACGATCGGCAACCGTAATCACGTATTTGATAGATTTCTACCGTACGCTCTGGCGATAAGCAAATCTCGCGGGGCTGTCGCTGAACTTTGATTGAACTGTTGTTCCCAGGTGATTGATGGAAAGTGTAGTTCGTATTACTTTCTGTTCTGCTGATGTCGTTTGTCGATAAAACTTCTCAAAATCAAGCAATAAAGTGTATTTTTATGCAACACTCCGAGGTTGCATTCTTACCTCATTTAGAACCACCGAGTTTCGATGCCTCTCGCTCGAGGAGATGGCGACGGGGACGCCATCTCCAGTCCAGAGAGACGACCCGCACCAGGAGTATCAACACACAATCTCGTCGGATTCTGGTTCGTTGTTGAACAATAATTTGGAAAATCTGCTATTTTTATTCATGTTTCTTTTTTAAAATTTTGTATTCTTTCTCTTCCTGAATTTTTCCATCTTCGTGCAAATTCTCCTTGCAGGATCCTAGGTCTGTGCAACAACTTTGCATACGTTGTTATGCTCAGTGCGGCTAAGGATATCCTAGAAACCGAAAGTGGCAGCGGCACAATGAATGTCACACATGCATGTCGGGTACGTCGTATCTGATTATTAATTGTTCTTCATTTTTCTTTGTGTCGATTTCTGCTCTGTCAGCGTGTTAGCTCAAAGACCAGTCATAAATTCTCCGAAAAAACCCAAAAGCGCCCAAAAACCCCAAAAGCGCAAGAAGGAGTTGGAACGCCGGAACGAATTTTTAGTAGAATGACATTAGTTTGATGTGCAGACGACAGAAAATGAAGCAAAAAGACTGGTCACGTCGATATTTGATTAGTGACATGTTTCACACTGTTGTTTCACATTTACTCGAAATCTGCATTAGCATCGTTGCATGCATTAACTCCATTTTGCAAGTAATCGCTCATTTTCGCGCTTCGTTTCACATTGGAAGGGACATAGCTGTGAAAATGCGAAGATTTCGATATTCACCTAAGTTTCCATTCCAAACCTTATTCATGTATGCACTATCGCCTTAAAATCCATGCTTTGCAGGAGAAGATCGTTGACCGTCAGTGTCAGGAACTGTCGACTGGCGCTGTGTTGCTCGCCGATATCATACCTGCTTTAGTAGTTAAGGTTACTGCCCCTTTGTACATACAAATGATACCGTTTGGGTGAGTCTCTTCTTTCCTTGGGATCCTCAATGTTGGTTTTACTGTGCATTTAATACTTACTTTCTTTACAGTCTCCGACATCTGCTTGTTGTTGTTGCGCAGATGTTGAGCTTTATTCTAGTCGGATCTAGTAGTAGTGTTTCTATGGCTTTATTAGGTGAGGAACTTTACTGAGTTTTACCATAGCTTACTTTGTTGATATGGCATTTTTAGGGGTCGTTGTCGCTAGTTGGGGTTCTGGTTTGGGTGAGATCTCGTACTTGGCTCTTGCTTCATATTTTGATGCGTAAGTTCACTATAGCGCATTATAATCGTGCTAATTCGAAGCTTTCATTGCAGAAAAGTGATTTCAATGTGGTCCTCGGGCACGGGAGGTGCTGGAATCATAGGTGCAATGGCATATGCCATTCTCACTGACCCGCTAATGTTACATTTTTCTCCGCAAGCCGCTCTTTACAGCATGTTAATTATTCCAATGATATTCGCTTACACGTTAGTTTCCATTTCTTATTTCGTCAGTTCCTTTTTTGATGAATTGAGCTTTTTCTGCACTGTATCTTTTTATTTTTGAATTCGCTCATTTGCTTCCGTTTTTTTCTCGTTTTCTTCCGCAAAAGTGTTTTTTCTTAGTTACTGGTATCTTCTTGAGCTACCACCAGGCGTACACAGAGTGCGTGCTTGCGATCCCAAGACGTATCTCGTACCAAGTAATTCAGGTAGGTCTCTCTTTCAAATTCTCCGATATTATACAATTGTTTCCTCCATTTTTTGTGTCTCCGAAATGGGGAAAACGTTTCGAGATACACGCAAAGATAATCGGTTCAGATTACGTGATCCGAGTTCGGCAAGTGTCAGGCTCTGACAATGAATCGGAAATCGAAAGACCGCTGCTTGATGGCGATGAAGAAAACGAGGATGACAGTGAGTTGATTGCTTCTCACTTTGCTGTTTGCATGTCCTCTTGGAATTTTTTTATCTTATTTATTAATGCTCAATTCACACCCATTTTCATCAAAGTTTTGCTTTGCTGCTTGCAGTACGACAACTTTCGCTGCCTAGATTGGTTGCGAAGGTCATTTCAAACAATCAATGCAGCACTTATCATCGCTGCCTATGAAATATCTCTTCAGACATCACGAGCGCTTCTCCTCGACATCAAAGATTGTTATCCATGTACGAGCGCCTGGGAGCTACAATTCCACTGTTTAAGTACATGTTACCATTAATCGTTGTCTACTTCGCAGAGTACTTCATCAACCAGGGATTGGTGAGTGATCTTTTGTATCCTCTCTAACTTACCTTCTACACTGTGGAAGTCTGTTCTTTTTTTTCAACAATTTCCTACTTGTAATCGAGAATTGGGACTGCTCTCGTTTTTAATACAGTAGATTTCAGCTGGAGTTGCTTGAGTTTGACTGTTCTCACGGCTTCAATCTTGGTCCTGAAAGCCAGTATCGATGGTACCAAGTACTATATCAAATAGGCGTATTTGTATCGCGATCATCATCCGACATTATAGCCCTTCCAGGCAAAGTACTGCCTCTACTGGCTCTTATGCAGGTTGCTACTTTACATTTTGTGTACTTCTCCTCTATCTCAGCTTCCGCTGATTGCAGGTCTTTAATGCCGTTCTTTTATACTTTGAAGCTTTGGATAGTTTCATCTCTCATATTTTCATACTAATGTTCATAATCGTGTATGAAGGATTGCTGGGAGGTGCTTCATATGTGAACACATACAGGGTCGTTCACACAGAAGTGAGTTTTCTGCTTACCATTTTTCCCCCAAACCTCAAAAGTGTATCAACTTCTGTACTGGTTCATTTCGAATATCTTTTGTTCTCACCATGATCTTATTTGTTCCCACCATGATCGTTCTTGCTCTGTGTCCAGAGTGGGACGGTTTTGTGTAGAGATAGACATCTTTGTACCACTCCCCTCTACATTTATTCTTCATCTTTAAAACAAAATGACAGCAAGGTGGTCATTTTCGTTTTATATGATGCTTTGCAGTGGCACACATAACGTCAGTATCCATGTTTTGATTAATATGCGCACCTTTCTTTCGAAGAGTCAATATGTAAGCAAGGTTGCATTTGGTCGCCTGCGGCTGATCTTTCACAAAAATGCAGTACATAATTGACGCCAGCAAATGTCAGATGAGATGAACTTTCTTCATTAGTCATTATAGCGACAACTTTCCCTATTTTTTGTTTCCAAAAATACAGAGAAAAAAACGATTTTTCAAAACATTCAGAAGCTCTCAAAGCACATTTCTTTCTTAATACCATAAAATCAAAAGAAACTGTTTTCTTCTTCGAAAACTGACGCGGACACTATGAGCTTCGTCGTATTACAGTGTTTATCAAATCATTCAGATACCACCTGAGAGGAAGGAATTCAGTATGGGCTTTGTCTCTATATCTGATACGTTCGGGATTTTGTTGGCTGGCTTCACAGCAATCCCTGCTCATAATATCATATGCAAGCAACCGTTATGAGAAGCAGAGGCGTTGGATTCGATCGGTACAACCAGGGAAACGAAACCTGTGGATGCATTTTGCCTCAAAGCCTGAGAGGCTTCTATTGGTTAAGGATTTTTTGCATTGCCTGTATTGTTCTGCATTTCATAATTGATATTAAGTTGAGTAGCGTAGATGACAGGCGTTCATTTGACAGCTCTAGTGGGTGCCAAAATCTTGAGAATTTGTTAAAGGTTTAAAGCAAACATTTAGCATAGATCTTTCATAAGACAAAAATTTGGAATTTAGGGCTAGCTACATGTTGCTTTATTCAGAGAAAGCGAAATTGGGAGACACTTCAAAAATTGCTATACCTTCAAATCGCCTTATTTTTTCACGCTATGTCACCATAGTCAAATTGATGTATCGCTTCGCCTTCGCAAGATTTTGGCGAGAAATGTATCATGTATAATTTATTTGTATCAGTCTTTAAATGTGCCATGTGTTGCATTTTGTTGCAAGTTTGCAACCTTTATCCTAGTCTATATCTCTTTTGCAATTCTATTGGCTTTCCCTACTATATTTTATCTTCCCGGTTCTTTTCCGTGTGCGCATACCACTTTGTATTGTGATCTTGCATTTTCGCTTAAGCTCTCTTTCACTGGGTTAATTTTCTGGTGAATCAATGCCTTTGATCTGTACATTTCTTATATTTAGGTCAGTTCTGCTTACATGTAAATAAACTTTATGGCGTCATACGTTTTGTGATAAGGAAAAGAGCAACCTCAAGAAGTAGTGATTATGCGGAAAAACGTTTGAGCCGTAAATGGTCCAGTTATTAGGCTTTCGTGAATTGTCGCTTTTCGATTACAGTCCGTGTCAATCACATGCTCTTTTTCCCGTAAATGCAGTGAGCTTCGCGCCACGTCGCGCGCGTATGACTCGGGCATTCAAGTGGGCCTTATCGATTGGAGGTCCGCATGCAGGATCCTTGCGTTGCGCATGCGTAGTTCCCATGCGAAAGGGAGTACGTAATTGACATCGACTGTAACTTGATAGAGAAGCTAATTTAGAGCTTCAAACACAACCAAAACATATAAAAATATTACCTGATCTCAGAAACCCATCATAAACCTGCGGATGAAGCAAAACTAGAGAATGCGTAAGATGTTTACAACCGAAAATAACAGTCATAATGTAAATTTGCAAAGTTTTCTATGTGGGGATTGTCTGCAGCATCTGTATCCTCGACCATCATGTGACACAAGCGACACTGAAGCTTCCATGCTTTCTGTCGTTTGTGATTATTGACCAGTTTTTCTAGTGACATCAAGAATTTTTTTGCGGGGGAGAGTTAGTTAAGAAAGGCGTTACAACTTTGCCGATGCAGGCATTACATAACTATTGTTACCCAAAGATTTTGTAAAGCTACTAAGATATCCTCAAAGTTCGTTACTGGAGTTTTCGCAAAGCTCCAGAAAAATGAGAAACGCCTTCACGGACTTTATTTAGACGATTGGGTAAGCGGTGTATACCGCGTGTATCCCTTCCCAGACGGTGAGATCTCTAAACCGCATTCCATATCTGCTATGACGTCATTCTGTAGGAGTTATAAAGGTTTTTTGGTGCAGTAGATAATGGCTTGGACTGCGGAGCTATACGTCGTGGGTTCGATTCCTCTGGGATGCTACCCATTTTGCATTTTTGTAAATTTTAGCAGGCAAGTTGCAAAACCTGTCGACATCAAAAAAAGTTGATTTTCACAATATGAAGTAATAATATATTTACATTAATTGGCACTGAACCACCGTCTAACCTCTTCGACTAAGTAAGAGAGGACCATTTGTGGACAGAACATTGCAGTTGAGCAACATATTGTGCATCAAAAAATCGGCAAAGTCACCATCTTTGGTAGGTAACTGCTCCTCTCTATGTTAAGCATGAATTCGGAATTTTTCAATGTAAAGTTGAGTAAGGTATTTAATAAAAAAAAACTGAAAACGAGTATTTTTAGGTTAGACGGTGGTACAGTGCTAATAAACGAAATATATTGCTCCATATTGTGAAAATCAACTTTCTTTTGATGTGGACAGGTTTTGCAACTTGCCTGCTAAAATTTACAAAAATGCAAAACGGGTAGCATCCCAGAGGAATCGAACCCAAGACGTATAACTCCGCAGTCCAAGCATATCCACTGCACCAAAAATCCTTTATAACTCCTCCAGAATGACGTCATAGCAGATATGGAATGCGGTTTAGAGATCACCATCTGGGAACGATATACGCGGTATACATCGCTTACCCAATCGTCACTGCGATCAAGTATCCTTCCCTTGTCAAGTCCAGCGGTGGAGCTTCGAAACCGTAAGAAGTGGAAGATGCCTCTCTTTATCATTAACACGTTGACGACAGCGTGCATTTTTAACTATCTGCCTTGTGGAACAATTCCATCTACAGTAAGTTGAGTATTTTCAGCTGAAATCAAACAGGCCGTCATCTGCAGTATCCCTACAGTGATTTTGAGAAGCACCTAAAAAACGCGGAAGTAGTTTCTAGGAATAAAGCATAATAGAACTTCTAAAACCACAGTCATTGCATGACCATCATGTGGGTCACATTGTCGTCAATGTGTTAACCTTGAGCAATATCATTTCTGGCGACTTTCAGGACCAATGTTCGCAATGAAACCGCTCACGATAGACTTGTAAACATATGACCTCTCCCGTGATAAAATAGACTAAATAGCGTGGATCAGAAAATCATTCATATGTAAGGCCTCGGACAGAGTTCACGTGATTTGATCGTCGCGATTCAATCGCTACAAGGCAAGTGTTACGAGCTCATTGCATGACGATCTTCTTTATCTCGGTTGTGGTAGTTAGTCACGATTAGTTGTGTAGGAGAACTATCACAACCGATTTGCAAGAAGATCGGCATGCAGTGATATTGTTACAGTTGTCTTGTCGCGATCAATCGCAACAATCAAATCGCGTGAACTCTGCCCGAGGCCCAAAATGCTTCGCGCTTATTGTCCTCATAATTTGAGTCTGGGACATATGCAAGAAATCGGCAGGGTTGATTAATGCAAATCTTGATATTTATATACCAATTCGGCTACTCGAAAAAATCAATGTATGGCTAAACTCATCTGGCAAGATACTAAAAGCAGTTCTTCTTCATTAAATGTAAGAGTTCTGTCTTTTTGCGATCGTGATGACGTGGTCTTTTTTGTATCACCAACTCTTCGAAGAAAGCGTTTAATGTGAGCATTTATGTATCATGTCCTATTTTCACGAGTACAGTTCGTATCCTTTTTTTTTATTCGACCAACCTGAGCACATCAAAGAATTTGCGGCATAAGTCTCTACCGTGCTGCTCTTTGCCTAAAGAGCATGGTGTGAAGAAGCGACCATTTCGCGAGACTCAGTGGTGTTGCCTAGCTGCTTAAGTGAAAAAAAAAGAAAAAGGTGCGTCTTGTACTCTTGAAATTAGGGTAAAAACAAGTCATCATAGGCTAAGCCGGCGCAAACCACTCTCTTTCTGTAAGCAAACTGCTTTCAGTTGTTACTGGCTCCATGCAAGGAAGACTTTCGTTCCCTAGGTTCTGCTTTTTCTCTTGCAGAAGCCATACCTCAGTGACGGACCCGGAGCTTCGAGCCCACCATTTGGTCCAACTTTCTTCCGCCGCTCTGTTATACAGCTGAAACTCAGGCCGGCACCGCAGCCACGTCGAAAGCTCTACTAGACCATTCGTGCTTGAACGTAGTCTCCTGAGGATGACCCGGCACAAACAACATTTCGTTGGACTCCGCAGTATGGATATGTGAAGAATGTTTGTCTTTGTAACCCATTGTATTACGTTGCGAAAGCGAAGCATCCATGGATCGGTTGCTTTAGGAAAAAACAGACAACAGATGGACGCTAAGAACATCAGAGGTGGGTTTCCTGCGAATCAAAATGTCTCCGGGGAAGACTCCAATGAGATGGGCAGACATGTTCGTAGAATGGATGGAACAAAATTACTTGGGCATGGTTTTCACACTCGGAACTCGTAGAAGCGACCACCGAGTTTGGCAAATATACAGCGCCATACCTCGAAAATTAGTTGATCAAAAACGATTCTTTGTGTTTCCTTCAAATGTGAACATTCCTTGAAATCAGTACACTCGACATCATGCTAATCATGCAATTTCAGGTTGAATTTCGAAGCACAGTACACAGTAATTGAAAATGTGAAGTCACTGGGGTTTTAATGCATAATGTGCTTCACAATAACTTGGGAGTACGTGACTAGCATGACATTAAGTGTACTGATTAAAAGATCTCATAACTTTTTCCAGAGAACGGCATCACAGATATAGAAGAGATTTGGTCACCTCATCAAGACGCATTCAATGAGTTGCAGTTCATTTCAGTTTGCCACCTTTAGCTGGGATCATTCCCATGAGTATAATAAGTAAGTGAGTACCAGTGCCCCCCCCCCCCCGAGAATGGGTAGCGAAATTTTTGAAAGTTACTTAAATGTGCTATAAAAATGTGCAGAGGACTCGTTATTACTTGTAAACAATAAAAATAATTTTGAAAATATTCAAAAATTCAAATTAGCCTTGTAAAAAAATTTTTTTCGGAGGCGTGGCGCCCCTTTTTCTGAAATTTTGGGGTCAGGGGCCCGGAAAAATTTTGGGAAACATCCCAAAAAAATTTTCGGAGTGCGTGGCTGACGACACGCACCTTCATTAAAAAAATTCTTTGTCGCCCCCCCCCCCCCGCCGAGATCCTGGGTACGCCACTGGTGAGTACCTTTGTCGCTTTGAGCCGTTTCTTTGATCGCGATGTACCACTTTTGGCCTGGTGCACTGCGAATTTTAAGCAGTACAATCCAGATATCAGTGCTAAGTGTAAAAGGAAAGGTGGGAACATACAATGTAGGTTAGGGTGCGCAAGGACGGGTTTGGGCAAAAAGAAAAAGCAAGAGTTCGATCGCTTTGATTTGATCCCTCTGCTCGCTTACACATCATATGGCCTGCGCGGGGCCCTCGTAGCCAGCTAGTAATGGAGATATTCGAATAGGTTGAAGGACCTAAGCGGACTATAATAAGGGTGTTGCTCACTCTAGGCAATGTTGCTTGATAAAAATGAAGGTGCATGGGGGTAAACAATATAGCGCAAATGTATGATATCATTATCGTGACAATATATAAAGGCTTAGCATGCTTTTCAGTAGTTCATTCTTGATGGCACTGTCGATTGAGCCCGCTGCAGCTCAGATCCCAGCCGGTGGTGGCAAATCAGCTCATACGCTAGCTAATGTTGGCGAATCAAAGCTGATTTTCAAAGTCAAGTGCTCGAATAACAACGACTACAGACTGAAACCTGTTTTCGGATTTGTCGACGCCGCAGGAAATCTGCCGCTTGAAATCACCAGAACGGTAATCGTTGTTTATTTCCTACAACCTTGAGCAGACGTTTGAATCTTGACTTTAGCGCTTTCATGGTACAAATTTCAATTCATATCTCAGGCTGGTGCACCAAAAGAGGACAAGTTGGTGATACAGTACGCTCAAGCTCCAGCTGATGCGACAGACGCACAAGCCGCCTTTCCGTCTATCGCAGCCGATCAGATCCAATCGCTCACCGTCCCACTTTCGGCCACTTGATTCAATCAGATATTATGAGGAATTTTTGTCAGTTGGTGTATTGTGAAAGATAAATATTGGCCACTGGCCGCACGTGAAGTCTTTTGTCCAGTGTATGATTCACTCCCAGATTCGTGCGGAGGCGCTGCGGTCTTTCCCGACTGTAAGGATAAGCTTGACTCTATGTCGTAACATTGTTTTTCGTTCTCTCGCTATAAGAAATTGAACGCTTTGAGTTGGTAAAACTCCGCCTTTACACAAATTTGGGAGCGGATGATACTTTGTCGCTGAAGAACTATGCAACTTGGGCTCTGGATGGAACCTCTTGAATGGCATGCTGTTTCTGCGGTACTGCGGAGCAGTGCTTCGTAGTTGTGGCAGAAAAGCACGTGTGCATAAGTTTCTTGGACTAAGGGAGACGAATGCCGCCATTAGATGCCGTGCGTACCTAGTACACGGTGAGAGTGGTACATGCAATTGAATCGGCTGCCCGTAAAGGCGACCCTAATGACAATTTTCCTCGGCCCTATGTTGTAACCATTTAGGAATGTCTTTGGGCGTGGTATTGTACTCAACCGCCACGCTTTGATAACTATCCAGTTGCTCAGTGGTGTACAGGGCAACTTTACAAAACTTTATTTCGGCGTCGAATACAAAAATAATGCAGCGCACAGCTAGACAGCAACAGTTGCTGAATTTTCTCTTCGGGAGAAACATAATCCTCGACGCCGAATGCGGATCACGCAGTAGCCGTCAAAGGCAGTGTGACAGACTGGATCTGATCTGGAGGAATTGACGACCAAGCCGTAGTTGGATCTGTGGCATCCGCAGGAGCTGGACCGTATTGTATCACTGCTTTGTCCTCCTTTGCTGGACCTTCCTGCAAATAGAAGGATGGAGAAAATGCACTTACCAAAAGGAGCGAACCCACCAGTCGAGTGACTACTAGATCGATCTTCCCACCCGCATCAACGAACGAATATACGGGATTCATGCGGTATTCGGTATTGTTCGTGCACTTCACTTTGATGATTATCTTCGCCTCGCCGCCATTCGTTAGTGAGTGCGTTGATGTGCCTCCCGCCGCTGGTACCGTACATGCTGGTGGATCCACTGTTAACGACATGATGAGTACGAATGAAAGCATGTTACCAAGTTATAGGCTTTTATACACCAAAAATCCCTATTTGTTTGATAAGATATCAGAATTGGATGATAAACATGGGCGCTGAGTTAAAATGAGAATGAGAAGCTGATACTTTCTGAGGGATTCTAAGGTTATATTTTTAACACAAAAAGTGAGCCCTCATATTTACTTGCGTAACGATGACTGCTCCAATGCTCTGCACGCAAAACTACTGGCTTCCAATTTAGGATTATGACGCTTGAGGTCGATATAGTTGGCATCGTTGCCCTTTAACCTTTATGTATGCTTTCGTAATTTTCTTTTCATGGCATCTCTAGCACCTAGTTCTTGCTTCCACCACGCGTTCAAGCAAGTCGACACACCTGCGTGACGTTTCGTCTCTCTGATCTTGTTTATAAGAAGGTGTAGTCACTTTCTTTATTCTAAACTTAACTTTGCGCTTGAATGTGTTGCGGGAAGGTGTCGCGGATTGGGCTAACGGCTTCTGAAATCTGTGAGTCGGCACTGGCGTGAGGAGGTAGGATCCATGTAAGAGGGCTCTATACCAGAGTGCATCTTCGCGCGATGGTTTGTTTCATGATAGCACTCTAATACAACTAAACGGATTGGTCAGTTGTCTCGCCAAGGACAGCGCCACCAAGTCCAAGCTCTACAGCTCTTTGGGAGTAAATATGCTCAAAGGCAGCGGCTAGGCAGGTTCTTGACTTGAAGTTTTTTTGCTTACCTGGGGTAATTCGAAGCGCTGATTCCGAAAATCCACCTTGAACAGCGCGAAAACGGCGAAAACCACCATTTCCCAAGGCCTCACATTTTGAATTTGGACGAGTGGAGCCGTCCCGCTATAATTAGAGAGGCAGAATCGTTGCGGGACCGTCGCAGTTATAACTTTGCGGCATGCCTTCTCTGACGGGTCAGGGAGAATCGCAAGCTTGTCCGCGCGTACTAGAATGGCTTGCGCGTGACGGGTCTAGGGGTAGTTTTTGAGGCAAGGGCAGCATGCTGCGCGCTCGGACCTGCTCTATTCCCATGTTTGGGGTGCAAGCAACCTTCCATGTTGAAAATTCGGGATGATCGGTTTCGGTGAGCTGCTGCCTTTAACTCCGTTAGACGTGTGGTGTATGATCAGACGCTGGATGAGAACAGACCGCTAACCAGGTTCTGCTTATGACAAGTCTGCCTCTGTGGTGGATGAGCGCTTCAAGAACAACAGGTGAGGGGCGAGGCAACGCGAGGACCCGCATCGTGGACAAGTGCGGCGGTCGCGGGCTTTCTTGAGTTAATCGCGCAATCCTCGACAATGTGGGCCAAAATTTTTCCTTATTTGAGGTATCTTTTGAGATATTGACCGCTTATTGCCTCGAGCTCGAGGTTTTTTCAATGTCCAAGAGTTTTCTACATTCTAATTTGTACGGAGTTCTAAACAAAAAGAAAATGCGCAGGAATGAGGTGCGAAAGAAGAAACAACAGTTGTACGAAACCTAAAATGCGGGCCATTTGGCCTCCACGCGCCACCATTTTCTGTAAATTTGGGGACGATTAAAAAGCAACTTAGTCCTCCCCGTATACTGGTGTGGATACACGTCCGAGACGGTCGCCGTTGAGGTCCTTTTACACACAGTTTTCACTTCGCTGCTTATGTTGTAAGGTGACTGAGCTGCAGATCTTCTGTGCACTACATAAGAGTGAATCAAAAGCAAATTGGCATTCGATGCGTAGAATGTCTCCATGTTAAGCTCATACTCACTGCAATGTTAGCGCGGTCTAAAAAATTTTATTGGAGGGGAGGGGAAGGAAGGGTTGAGATGTTTCGCTTACTTAGAATCTTAGCATTGTTGTCAATATTCTTTAGTTTTGTGTGGCATACACGGGTTTGTCATGGTGGCGTTTACCCCCACTGGCCTAAAACGCAAGGCTTACCTCACCCGATACGACCAAATCGCGACGTCCACGCTACTTGGAGTTTTGCCACATTCTCTTCGTCGTGAGCGGTTTTCAAATGCATAGGAGCAAATAATTATTTGTGTAAAAGTTCTACAAGCAATAACTTTGCGTGAATGGAAGCCATCGGTCTAATTTCGGAGATGCTAAAGTAAAGCAAGGGTTAGCGGAGTTAACCACCAGTCATTTTTTACCCCTCGCGGCAAGTGTAAATTTTTCACATACGACAGCTGACATTCATACATGCACTTAAATGAGATTGGAAACAGCTTCGTTTTATTTGGTCAAAATCCCTTGGCATCGAAATCCTATAGGCACTTTTAGGCTGTAGAATAATCTTCGAAATTTCCTCTATTTTATATATAAAGCTGAATGTCTGTTTGTCTGTACGTCTGTATGTCTGTATGTATGTACGTATGTTCCGAATAGAAAATTCCATTTTTGAACCGATCGAGACCAAACTTAGCACACATACACTTCGGGCCCCGGCGGGTGTCATAGGCTACTTTTCGTTATCGATCGATATCGATTTTATCGATTTTTTGCAAAATTTGAGCTACGGGGCTGGGAGTTGGCAGGGGGGTAATCGAGCATGCTGATCACCCCCACCCGCCGGGGCCCGAAGTGTATGTGTGCCAAGTTTGGTCTGGATCGGTTAAGAAATGGAATTTTCTTTTCGGAACATACGGCGGAGCCGGGTAAGCCAGCTAGCTTTTCATAAGAGAGCATGCCATGTCAAAAAAGACAGGTTTAAAAAAAATGGGGGGAGGGGGAGCCAACATGTTGGATAGGTTGTGACAGCCATATGCGCTGCGAAGGTCAAATCTTTTTCATATTCCATATCTACGCTATGATGGTATCTACTCAGACAATCGATCGGACCCCTCCGCCGGACCCTCGAAAACTGCCAGGGTCGCGCCGGACCCAGTTGACCAATGAGAGAAGGGCAAATGGGCGGTCCATCGCGGTGGCATCACTGGCAGGCAAATGGGAGGCTTCTCCGGCCCTGCTGCAAAGGTCCGCCATTTCTCCGGCGCGACTCTGCCAGATTTGACGGACTCCGCGCCGCAGAGGTCTGCGCGGCGCGTGTCCGCCAAATTTGGAAGACACGCGCCGGAGAAAATCGGAGGGGTCCGGAGCAGAAATGGGAGGTATCCGGAGCAGAAAATGGGAGGTATCCGGAGCAGAAAATGGGGGGTATCCGGAGCAGAAAATGGGGGGTATCCGGAGCAGAAGATGGGAGGTCTCCGGAGCAGAAAATGGGAGGTATCCGGAGCAGAAATGGGAGGTATCCGGAGCAGAAAATGGGAGGGCTCCGCCGGACAAATGGGAGACCCACCGCTGGGGATACGCCGCGACCCTGCCACTTCTCCGGCGGAGGGGTCCGATCCGCTGTCTGAGTAGAAACTTGGAAAAACCGCTGGGAGCTCTGTACGCCCTAATTCCTACTGTTCGAGACCATTTTCAATCCAATTGAACATATAGCTTCAAAAGAAAAACTTTATGTGCGACATATTGACAGCCGCTGGAGTACTGTATACTGTATGCTTATTGCCAGCTATCGTTCATCTTGGCATACATCCTAGCGGTATTTCATCGATTATCAGCTTTCCGGACCACTTCCTGTACCTTCCAATCTCGCATCTTCATGTGCACCCTCCTAGTCTGGTCTTGACGTTCACTTTTTCAGTACCTTTTGCATCATATTCGGATGGGTCAACGACGGAGTGTAAGCGGGGGTTGTCTAGTTGTATAACGGTTTCAACCGGATCGATAGACTACACGAATCGAACGACTAATAATTTATCTCAGAAAACGGCAATGAACAACAAGAAACAAGAATGCGTAACTTGAACAAGGCTTAACAACGAAACGACGGGCTTTACCCTCTTCGACCACTTCGGCAGGCTTACTGGTTACTCTCTATCTGAGGGCGAGGTCCGCCTCTCTTCGACGAATTAAGCTCCCGCTAGCGCTTCCTCGGCGCACTCTGAGACTCCCCCCTGACTCTCGGTATTTATACCCTGCCGATGGGGTCAGCGCGGGCTTTTCTTCCCGCCACTGAAGATCGGTAGGTCGGTGATCCGCGCCCTCTGACAGGAGTACTGGGTGCTATACCATGTATACCATGTAGCACCCAGAAGAGCACTGTATTATACGTTTCTCCTGATGGTACGTATCCAATCTTTCGATAATGTGCAGTCTCTCAGGTAGTTCGTACCTTATTGTTACTTGTCTATATATGATGTTAATCTAGCAACTTATTATATATGGTAGAAGAGGTTGGACGGCATAGAAGTAAAGTTAGATCCATTTTTGTACCATTTACTTCATGTCTCATCTTATTTTACTACAGTGACTTGTTTATATGGTGGGACATTACGCTTCTGTAATGAAACGGGTAAATTTACTTATTCATTTATTCACAAAATACATAGTAAGAGTAAATGTATTACAGTAGAGAGATGAGAGAGTCTGAGAGGACAAGGATAAAGGAAGCCAACATGTTTAGAAACTAGAAAGCACCAGCTCTGCACTAATCTATCCAAATCAAGATTGAATAACTTTCTCTTGAAATTGGGGTATTACTTGATTGTAGAATATGAGGCGGAAGATGTTGTAACCATCTTGTGCCTCTGAAAAACATTGTGTTGAAGGTTAGCAAGATTTACTTTTTGTTGATTGAGGGATAATGAATGAATAATTAAAATTCAAAAAATTATAAATAATTGAGATTTTGAAATAATTCAAATGAATGAATAATCATCTTGAAAACTTGCGTACATCGTGGCTCCGAAACAAAAATAGCCGGTCTAGAACAATTCCTGACCAATACTTAAAAACCACTTCTTTGGTTCCCTTGACCCCAACTGCGCAGGCAGTTTGACTGAAGCGCGATTTCTTCCTCTAAACCAGCGATTCGTTTACTATTGCGGACTCTAGCAAAAAGGAGAGGAGGAGTTTTGTAACCAAAATGTTACTAAATAGTAAACTTTAGGTGTCGAACAAATTTTATATAGGAAATTTA